GCTTCTTAGAAAAGGGGATACCAAGGAAGGTCTCCCACCAATGCCCCAAATACCCCAGCTCACAGCTGAAGATCTGTCCATCAGGAAGAAGTATTTGGCTGCTCCTTTCTTATTCTGAAGCACTGGAGAGCTTGAAAACCAAGTTTTTTTCGCTGTTACAAATATTTGGCACTCATCTTGTGCATGCAAAAAGTTCACAAAATTCATGTTGTACAAGAATTAAAGTGATTCTATTTTGATTTTGGTTTTTCCTTGTATCTAAAAAAATGCTTCTTGTCCCATAAAATCTTCCTGATTAATTTTCTAAATTTAATTTCATGGAGGAAGATTAGAACAGATGCACCTGTTAACACTGAGAAAGCATCTCTTTATTACTAGGACAGAGTGGATTTATCCAATAAAATATGCTGATTAGCAGTAGAAATCAATTTCTCTTCTACTTTTTCTAGTGAGTTTTACTCCAAGTCACGATTATAATGAATATAATAAGAATTTACTTTTAAAACTGAGATTAAATCTCTATTTGGATTACTGCATCTTATAAATTTAAAAACAAATTAACATGAAAGTACAAAAAGGAGATTTTTAAGAGAGTATCTTAAGACACAGTTAGAAAAAAGCCCTAAGAAACCTGGTCCAATCCCACTGCTTGACCCTTTGAACAACAGTTTGGACTAGGGACTTCCTGGGCTCCCTTCCAGCCTGGACAATTCTATGATTATATTCACAACTGCCCCGAATTTTCACTCTAAAAACTGTGTTGCTTTGTTTTGACTCAACACTTGAGAGACAAGATATTGTTTGTGTTCCCAAAAGGTGATGTGAATAAAGATGGCACCTTTTTTTTTTTCGCCAGTGACTATACCAGTTTATTTTCGGTATGCTTTCTGTGCAAAAAAAATAAACTTAAGTTGATTACACACTAGTTTGCATAACAAGCATAAACTCAGCAGGAGCAAATGCTTGATCTCTGCTTTTTGATATTCATTTTGCTCTGGGTATTTCCAGCTAGCAGCATTTACTCAGAAGGAAGCCACCAAGAAAATCTGTCTTATATTCCCAGAAGCTGAGTCATTAGGAAACACAAGTCACACTAGGTTCACACAGAGATGAAAACTGAATTTGAGGAGCCACTCGTGCATTTTTTATGAGTTACTCTGTTCATATAGGAAATCTCCTAGAAACCTATTTCTGTCTACATATGCTATTAAAATGACTATATAAATTTTATCTGTAGAGACAACACCTATCATCCTTTCTCAAGAACTCTGACAAACCGTCTATCGACTATTTCAAACAACAGTCACCCTACCAACGCAAGCTCAATGGTGACATAATTTATTTGCCACATAAGTTTTACTTGCCTGGTAGACATGTATGCAAAAAAATATGTGATTTAAATGCTATTTTAGATCTCAAGAAACTATTATGTGGGAGTCCCAGGAGAATTACTAGTCTTTAGAAGATTTGATGTGGTCTCCTTTTTATGTTCTAAAATTATTTCCAATATTAAAGGGTGAGATCTTTAATGACTGATTTGCTATGAACACATCAAAAAGTATAGTCATGCTTTTAAAAAGCCTCCATGTGAGAAAGTGCTTAAATATTTTTTGTAGGACATTATTCCTAAAATGAATAATGGATGATTTCTATCCTTGAATATCAAAACTGTAACACGGTGAAAATCAATTTTATTTATCATGAAAGTGAGCCAAACCCTCAAGCTGCCCTGAATTATCTATAGTGACAGAATCGTCACAAACCAGAAGTTAGAAAGTAATATTTGGATTTTAAGGGAATTGAGCTAAGCTGGGCTTGTTGGATATTGAACAGATTTTTACAGAGCTGCTGCCCTCTGCCTGTTTCTGCTGACCCCAGCATAGCTGAAAATCAGATGTTTTTTAAAATCTGGATTGAAGTATTTATTTATAAAAATCTATCTTTAAAAATATTTCTGGGGCAGATAGTGTGGGGTCTATTTTAGCAATTCCATTTGTACTAAAGAGTGCACTGCTCGTTTTTGAACATGGGTCACTTAGATAAACTTTTGATTTCTTTCTTTTTTTTTTTTTTTTTTAAAAGGAAACAAACAACAAAACCCCAAAGTTTACGCAATCTTTAGGAGTGTAAAATAATTAGACATGCACAAGGAAAAATGCTTTCATTTTTATCTCCACATATTGAAACTATTAACAATGTAGAGAAAAAAAAGCCCAAAGAAATAGAGAAAGGAACTGAATAACAGATACTGGGTATTTTAGGTTCAGATCTTTCATAGACAGATGAATGTACTTTACTAGTTTAATGGGTCTAAGCTGCCAAAAGAGAGAATTAAATGTTTGCATAAGTCTTTACAAGACCAAGAACAGAATTTTATCTTTTTAGAGAATACATTCAATAAGACTTTTATCATTTCACACCAAGTTTGTATCTTTCTAGTTCCTTTTTGGCTGGCTCATAAAATTTGAGATTCAAATCCAATTACAATGCATTTATAGTACGTGCATAAAGGCAAAATGCAAGAGCAATAGAATCATAATTATTTCAGGCAAAACATGTCCACATTGCTAAGCTTATAAAAGGACCATTATAACTTCAGGCATTTTGTGCAAAATGGACAAATTACTTTTTGCTGCTATGTGCTCAGTTCAATGAACGTGGTTCTGACAAGTACCTTCCACATGGGAAAGTGAGATATGTAAGTCAGAGCAAATGGCAAAAAGATGAAGTGTTTATCTATTCCTAACCTAAACTGATGGCCATTTGGGACAAATGAAAAAGTGGAGATTTGACTTCCAAATCATTAGAACTCAGTTCTATTTTGTGGAGTAGCACTGAAGTACTTTGATAGGATGGGTCACCACGTCTTCGTCAAGTGTTTCATATATCTCCAACCTACTGGCTTGCTTCCCTTACCAAAGCTGTCTTTGGAGCTCACTGATTGAGAAAACCCCATACTTCCATTCTTAAATGAAGGTGGTGGGAAAGGGATGTTGCAGAGCATCATTTGGTGCAGGCATTTAGCATTCTGTAAGATCAAGCTCTGTATTGAACACGAGTCTGAAATACCTTTAGACATTTTGTAATTTCTGTGTTTAAGATGTCATGAAATATGTCATGAAATATGATACTGAAATCATATCATACTAAAAAAATAATTCAATAATTCAATAATTCTATACTGTTGAAACATAGTAGTCATCCAGTATCAAATGCACTTGTAAATACAATATAATATTGAATTCCACTTAAATTCTGTTTAGACTCTGGGCACAAACACTCAATATACAAAATTAAAAAATTACTCAGATATGCCGTGACAAGAACTAGAAAGGCAGTCATGTTTTAAATGTATTGAAATTTGTCAAAAATGGATTTGTATGCTAGCTTTTCAATGTCATCCATACATTTTAATGTATGAGTCAAGCCAGTATTTTATTCTATTACATTTATGTACAGATGGTTGGGGGAAGATCCATACTCATACTAATTAATTGGTGACATTTGGAAAACTAACTCATGGTCGATTTCTTGAATAACTCTAGTATTAACACACTTGTTTCTCCTACCCTTAGGGTAAGTTTTATTGAAAACTTCATTTAAAAAACCTTTTTTTTCTGTTTAAAATTACCAGGAAAAAATGATTTGAGGAAAGGCTATTGCCTTTCTGTAAAGGAACAAGTGACTCATAACTTTAATTTGGAGAATAGGGTTGACTGAAATAAGAAAATTGATCTTATGAAAAAAATAAAAAAAAGCAAACCTGAGTGACACTATCTTTATGTGCAAACTCTATGCTTGTTTCTTTGTCATATTTTTAAGATGAAAAAACCAAAACCCTGCAATGTGGAAATATAATTACCCTTCACTAAGACTAAGCAGATAATCTTGTAATTACACAATATGAAATGTTTATGAGGGAAAAATGAAAAATTCTCCAAGGCAATGCCAAACTTCATACAGATGCATTCTGAAACACTCAAAAAGATTTAATATGCACGTAAAATTTATTTTGTTATTTTGTTTGTTGAAATTTACTTTAGGGACTTTTTAAATAGTTACCAGCAGGTGACTGATTGGGGGCACTAGCAGAACAGGAAGGCTCCATACATGGCATACTTCTAAAGATAAAAATTAAAGGTTACATTGAAGAGAGAACCATGAGCTGCACAAATTCAGACCTGACTGGCAGGTAAAGCTCAGGAAACTCCTTGGTTTTGTCCAAGCAGTAGAAAATGAAATCTTATCTTAAATATCTAAGCTTAGAAGTCCTTACTATCAGCCAAAAAAAAAAAAAAAATTGTGAAAATTATTCATTGATTTCAATAAATTTTAAAACTAGCTTCCAACATGTACAGCTCTGAGCAAGCTAATTGACGTTAATGTTAGTAGCAGCAGAGTCTGGAAGGATGACAGCGTTTATATCGATGTAATCTTTAGAAGGTGATTCAAGTAATCACACTGACTAAATATTTCTACCTTATGACAGAAATTTTAGGTCAATTTCTTTAGTGGGAGTGTGACAGAGCCCTGGCACAGGCTGCCCTAGGAGGTTGTGGAGTTTCCGTCTCTGGAGGTATTCCAAACCCACCTGGATGCCACCCTGTGCCCCATGCTCTAGGTGTCCCTGCTAGAGCAGGGGGTTGGACTAGATGATCTCTAGAGGTCCCTTCCAACCTCAATCACTCTGTGATTCTGTGATATGTCAAACTTAGACCAACCATCAGACTTTTATAACACTTTCCAGTTCTCCCATAAATTATCTCATAAAGATAATTTTAAACACTGCTACTTGGTAAAAGCAGTTCTACGTGTCAACTGAAAATTACTGCCTAAAGTTTTATAGTATGACATTTTTAATAGCATATAATTTTCAATTTAAAAAGGCACAAACAGGGTTAACCACAAATTCTCTCCAACTGAACCATGTGGGCCATAAGAATTTCAGTTATATCATATCAACTGTATAATACAATATCAAAACCAAGCATTCTGAGTACCTGAATGAAAGGGAAAAGAAGTCCGACTGCAAAGTTGGAGAGCCAGTTGACTGTCCCAGCTATCATGAACGCGGCCGGCCTTTGAGATTGCTGAAAAAACTCTCCAGTCAGGACAAAAGGAATTCCACCTGTAAGTGTCCAAAAAGTTGAAGATTTTAATAAAATTCCTCTATCAAAAATTGTTTTAATTACAGAGATGATCACACAGAGAATTCATAAGCACCTGTTTATGAGTGACAGTTCTTAGTGACAAGGACCGTCTGTCTTGTACATCTCCTCAGTTTTACCAAGGGCAATTCGAACCATAAAATTTGTGCTTTGTCAAAAATGTGTTTTATAGAAGTGTTACATTTTGCTGTTTCACACTGGTGTGACTTCTACGTTGCATCTTTTCCATAGTGGTAAGCAGGCAACAGAATAGTTAACTCATGGAACTCCCAGGTTACTACATGAAGACTTGATTATCAAATATACGAATTACTATTTCTGTTAAAATGCTTGATTTTCTGAAAATGGAGTAATTTTCCATAATAATGTTAGACATTAACACACCAGTGGTTCCAAAGATGTTAAGCAGTATTTCTGGATGATTATTATACCCTTTAATATACTAATAAAAAGACAGAACATTTGCTTCTCTAACAAGGTTATTTTTTGTTTTTCCTTATTTATAGATTCCCTTGCTGTTTATGTTGTTGACACTTCTGAAAAGGTTCCTTTCTCCCACCAGCCAAGAACTACAACTTCTGAAACAGCAAAATGAGCTGAACACTGCAATTGTCACTCATGTTTCCTTTGACTGAAAGAGTGAATTATTTTGCACAACACTGCCATATTTCTGGCCAGACAATAACCCTTTGGGGAAAGGTGTCTAGTAGCTGAAAGCCTCAGTTTGTGAGCTATGGCTTTCTTCAAGTGGATAGAGTATTTCAAAAGAAGTATTTCTATTTTATTTCCATGCGTAAAACATAGACTGCATTTGACTGGCTACATATATTAGCTAATGTTGCACAGTAGATGGGCATCCACTTGCATGATTATTTCACCACTGTTTGGGAACTGCAAGTCTGGCAACATCAGTTAAGTTTTCAGTATTCTGGTACCACCAATTTCTACTTCTAGTACCTTGCATGTCTGCCAGCATGATCACTGTTACTCTCTTTCACTCAGCTTTGCATGCAAGATCCATGTCTGCACGCACCATGTGCTTTCTCTGTTTTAAGCATTTAAACATGTTACTCTGAACAACCAAGAACATATTAATAGAGACATCTTTCTCTCAAAACTCTCTGTAACAATCCTATCTTATCTCAATAAGGTAAAAATACCACTAAACATATATTCATCCATTGGGTCTTCTCCCTGTGTGTTCCACTTGATTTATGTTCTTATCTTTTGCACTACTCTTTGAACAGGCACTGCTCATTCACTTACTACTGGATGGTTGTGAACACCGAATAGCGACAGAGGCACTTGCATTCGGTGATACTACACTCAAAAACACTTTCCATTGCCTGCTCTGAGATAACACTCTACAAATACATAACAGGACATGCAAACAATACACGGCACCAGATATGGCTCCTTCTCTGATCTTGCACATGCAGAAAGAGCTAATGCATAAGCTGGGATATGTATCATTAAGCATCACGCCGCACCATCAACTAGCAGGACTTCTTGTGAGGAATATCTACAACGGTAGTAAAGGCTTCAGCTGACCATTGTGCCGCAAAGACTCCAGTATAATTTATACAGTAAGCTCTACAGAGCAAATACATCTACTTACTATTATTTTATGCATCAGAAGCAGACATAAGAAGAGCTTAAGATACCCAAGTTACAATTCTGTCTTTCCCTCTGAATTCTGCGACCAAAAACAGTATTCATCTGTATGAGCTCAACAGCCCTTTGAACACGTATAATGAGCAGCTGAACAGGCAGAACTGTTATTGAAATTCTTATCAACCCTTGGTAGTTTCCTGAGCTGATTCTTTTTTTCCCCATACACTTGGGATTTGGATTCATATCTTAAGATCTGGCAGGCAAAACAACAATCATATCTGCTCTGCCAGTATCTGTTTTAAGCCTCACGTGCCATGTGAGCAAGCTGTTTGGCAGAGCACTTGGCCCTTGGAGAGAGGAACTGAGGGAATGGAAACATAGAAATCATGCAAGATGATTTATTTATGATCATTTATTCTGTCATGCCTTTGCTGAAGGACGATCTACAGAGGTGTTGCTGTTCTTGTCAGCGAAATAAAAAATGTTGTTCCAGTCCCATACACATTGTACAAGAGAGAAAAGCCAGAGGCAGAAAAGGAAAAAAAGTGTAGAAGAATAGAAACATATCAGAAAGCATAAATGTTATGGAAATAAAAATGCAAGGGCACTTCTTTAAGAAAGGTCCCTTGAAATTCAAATATAATTTCTGGATGTATATTAATCATCACTAAAACTTGATAACAGTTCATCACAAAAGCTCTTCCATTTAATTTAACAAATAATCAATTAATTTAGTGATGATGAAAATAATGCTTTGCAAAGTCAAAAACAAAAGGTGGCAGCTCCCATAGGCTCTTTCAGGTGTTTTGCAGGGGAATCAGCAAGGTGGCACAGACAGACCTCCAGATTTTCAGGTGGCACAAACAAGCATTTCCATAACATCACAAGAGCGACTATAGAGGAATGGTGCAGGAGATTAAATGCAAGAGCCAAAGTGCCTGAGGAGCAAGGGGAGAGGGTAACTGAAGGACAGGACAGGCCTAGCAACACACAGGAAGCTGATGGGAGCAGGTGAGACACTGCTGTGCATCCAGAGCAGCATGCACAGGAGCTCGCTTGGACCTGGGGCACAAGGTGCAAATGGCACCATGAGCAACAATCCTCTGATGAACATCAGAAAACTCCATGGTCAAATAAAGTAAAACAATGCAAAAGCAAGCTGAAAGAAAAACTTATAAAAGCCTTAAGACATAGATACTTTTATTTTTTTATTTGGGGCTGTGCCTGGGACTGAAGGAAGGTGCAATCTGCCTTGACTAGGTCAGTTTGGACCAGGGCACCCAGGCCTGCCCAGGTGCTGCTATTCGATCTGCAGGTTGCAGGCTCCCTCAGTGTCTTCTCAGACCCTCTCAGGATTTTCTGTTCTGCTTTCTGAGTCGTTAAGTCATCACAACAGAATGGCCTATCGTCAATCACAGTCCTATCCCAGGGTGTCTGACTAGGGAAGATGGGTCCGTTCTGACCTACATTCATATACAGATGTTTGGAAACAACAGCCAAAAACGATCTGGCCAATCCATAGTAAATTATAGAAGTGCTTTTCCAAGAACTTTGTCAAGGGTTTTGCAGGCTTAATATGCGTTGGAATGTGGGTGACTGCTGTAGTTGCATCAAGCAGTTAATTGATACTCTTTCTCACAGGGGATGAACCTCGCATTAACAGTCCCCATGGAAGGCTATCCCCATGGAAGGCTATTTTTTTTCAGTGAAATAACTTTCTTTTAGCTTTGATCATGAAAAAAGAAAGCATATATTAGGAGTTCCTGTAGGAGCTTTCAAAAAGGCAGTTTCTGAGCATGAATTTAAAGAGAATTTAATGCATTGACCACAATTACTGTGATTCACGTCTAGTACTTTATTCTTTTCAGCATTGCAGTGAACATAATAGGAAAAAGAGCTCTTAACATAGTGCAGAGCCATTAAAGAAATGCTTTTATACCTGTAAGCATGCTGCTTCTGCTTAAAATTACAAATCTCTCTTATAAGGCTTGTATATCCAGTGTACCTAATGAAACTACATTAAGTCCACATAAAACAGTCTGACATGCACTAATACCTACATACCTGTATTATGAATTTCCTTCCATAATTAGTGAAGCTAAATTTAAAATCAGTATCATTTGCTGGTAAGCATCTAGAACCTCAACCCAATATTTTTTATGCATGAAATTAGATTGATGGAAGAGAAATTATATATATAAATTTATATAAATACCTATTTATATATATATATACACACAATGCTGGTATAGATTATATAGATTTTCAAATATATATGTAATTTTGCATAAATATCAATTGTTGTGTTGATATTTATGCAAACATGTTTACCGTTTTGTTCAGTGAGCAGTTGCATATAAGTGCTGTGTAGCAGAAGTTACACATGGCAGGGTAAAAAAATCAGAATAAAAAAGTCAGAATACAGAGAGCAAAAATCAGAATACAGAGGGTATGAAAAATAAGGAGAAATACTTAGATCTCATTCTAGTTTTACCTAGTCCTTAACTGGGTGTTGAAGTCCTGCAGAACAGTATGGTTTATAAAACGAAACTGTTAAGAAAAATAAAAGCCTCATATCACATCATGAAGACTTATCACATAGATAAAGCACCTCTAAAGGTGACAGAAACGCTCTCCTAAGAATCAGCAAGGCAACTCTCCAAGCCAGTTGCTAATACCTCAACTACTGCTGCTGGAGCCAAGGCTAAGACGCCAGGGACTGGTGTGAGTATGAGCAGCTCCCCAGGCAGCTTCCTACTGGTCCTGTACCAGGTTCAGTGCTCTAAATCCTGCCCTTTTCATCAGGTTTCTGGAAACCTTGAAAGCCCTCATTAGGGCAAGACTTCCCAGCTCTGTGCTTTGAAAGAATGAGTCTTCTGAGATGTTTTGACAGGACAGACAAGTACTTTGCAATAGCTAAAAAATATCTGTGCAGCTTGGGAAAAGATTAAGCAAAACAGCTTTGAACTACAAGGCAAGGTATGCAGAGAAAAGTCCTGCATCCTAATCCTGATAGGACTAGGCAATAAAGCAGGACTTGAAGTGCAGGTGGCTGTTGCTAAGAAGCAACCACACTGAGATAAAGCTCCTGCAAGAAAGCAACCGATAAAGCTGTTCAATATCCTTTAATGAGGGCTAAAAAGGCTGTTAGTTAATTCCCAGTCCTTAACTCATACAGTGGGTTCACCCATGGTGAAAATAAAGCCAAATTTAAACACATGCACAAAAATAGTTAAACTCTGGAGAGTTTTTACATCTCTGTGGCCCTATAGGTAGAATATGAACATTGCAAAATATTTAATTCAGTCTTTAAAGAGATACCCTGTAACCTGCCAGATTATTTTCA